CCCCCCCCCCCCCCCCCCCCCCCTTGACTCTGTCGCTTCTGTCCCCCATCAACGGCCTGCCAACGGTGCCTCAAAGTACGTTGTGCCAGCCTTGCACATAACAACGTCGACCGTAAGACAAACCTCCGAAGGAACATCGTCGCTGCTAATACTGCTGCTGTCTTCGTCATCGTCACTGCTGCTGCTGCCATCCTCTTGGGGGTCTTTGCCACCTCCTACTTTGTGGCGGGCTTCACTGGCAACCACTCCCGGTGGCGAAGCACGTGGTGGTCCTTTTCCCGGCGAGGAGGATGAGGACGAGGAAGAAGGGACGCGAGAGGAGGAGCTGACGTACGTGCTGACGTCCCCTAGCACCGAAGCGACGCTCACGTGTACGATGGGCTCCTGTCCGTGAGGCACGCATGTGTGAACGAAAGGGGGTGCCGGGAGTGAGGACTCCACAGGAGGAACACGCCGGCCACGACTCTTAGAAATGGGCACGACTAAATTATGGACCAATCAATGTCGTCTTCTTCTGCAAAATTCCGTCAAGACTGGCGCACGTTGTCTCGGTAGGCGCCCGTTCTGCACAGAAGGCAAAGGACGTCGTACGCAAAACACGCCGCAAAGTCGTCTGCTCTGTCTGTCTCTCTCTATCGAGTATACCTCAAGGCGATGCTGCTTGGGAGGCCAGTGGGTGGACAAAACGGACGGCGAAAGTTAGCGGTGAACATAGAGAGAGAGGTGGTCCGGTCCCCCTCGTGCATGACAATCACCTCGTAGTACCCTGACTGCTTGAACCTTCGCATCAATGGGTCGACCTTCGCGATGAGGCCGAGAACCATTTTTCGCCCCCCCCTGACCCTGAGACACACGAAGGAGCGTGTTTTGTCTTCGTTGACGAGTACATCGTAGCCGGAGACGAAGGAAGCGGTGAAACTGAGCCAAAACGGAAAACAAGACGGATGGATCCGTTTGGCGACAAGTTTCACAGGAGGAGGACCGGGGTTTGCTGCGGAATTCGAATCCCCTACGAGCAAAACACTGTTCGAAATTTGAATAAATGGATGTGTACGCGTCACAGACTCCTGGCATGGATACGAACGCGTCGTCCGACCGAAAATTGAATAGAGTGACGTGGACGTGTCATGAAATCCCTGGCGTGGTTTAGTTCGATTTTTGAGCTCCCGACGAGAAAAACATTGTTCAAGTGCCAACTAACCCCCTGGCATGGGGCATTGGATGTGTGCTTTGACCTCTTTCAGCAGCGCACGTGCGAAGAAACAAACCGAGGTAGAATGACACCTCAAGCTCACCCGTGGTAACACACCCCGTAAACAGCGTGACATCAAATTGACCCTAAAAAAAAAGAGTCGGTGCCAACTGACTCTTAGTGTCTCACCTGCGAGACGATTTGACGGCGTCCTTAAGCCCCTGCACGAACGGGTCTATCTGGTGGGCTCGCAGAGCGGTCGTTTTTGAGAGGCTAAGGTGCTGTCGCCCTGAGGGATCCATGTTATTCATTACTACCTCCGGAGGATCGAGTTTCCCAGCCGATGAAGCGCTCGCCTATAGGTATGACGAAAATAAGTGCATATCCAGACAAACGTTGTCGACAAAAAACAGCGTCAGACATGGGTTCCACCTGTCGTAAGGTGCTGCGTGCGCTCCTTTCTGTAGGACAACCAATCGTTACTAAACTGCCTGCTGCACGCTTTGGCAAAAACAGCAGCTAAAAGCACAATATTTGCGTTACGCGTCAAGCAGCCGGAAACGTCGCGACGTTCAGTATGGACTCTTTAGTCGGCCTCCACAAGCAATCAACAGCTTCTTCGGAAGGACAGAGGTGCAGGAAACGCGTCTTACCGACCACACGACACACAAAAGCTTATCTGCTGCTGCTGCTTACTTGGTTGGAACGCCGCCGGCCATCACTTGTGCGCTTCCTCCCGCCCTTCCCACCTTCAGCACGCCCGTGCCTATCTCTCCACGCCGCAGCTAGCCTTTGCCGGAAGTGCGAGACGCTCGCCTCCGCCATGCTCTTGAAAGCTGAGGAGTTGGGCACTGTATTGTGGCGGGCCGAGGAAGGGGGGGCGCTTGGTCTCCCGGGGGGTGCACGCAGCATGCAGCAATGCCGCCGGCTTTGAGCAACGTTTGGGGCAACATCAGGAGGTTGTTCGCGGTCACAAGGTAAAAGTGCCGCACCCGGAGTCAAAACGAACGCCACACACACACACACCTGGAATGAAGACGTGCGTCGGCCAGTTCCCTCTCTCGTGGGGAAACCTTCGAACCCATGGGATGTTCCCTGCCCGCTCCTCTGCCCTCCGCCGCTCGGTCGCGAGGTCGTACTCTATGGCAGCACGTGACGAATCATGTCGTGAGGCTGTGCATACCCACTACAATTAAACGCCATTTTGGCATATTGTGCATTTATACCCGACCGTTCCCAATAGCGTACCGAAAAATATGATCTAGTGCGGAATTGCTGTTGTCCAGAACGCGAGGGGTATAGTCTAGTGCATAGTCTAATTACTGTTGACCAGAATGCAAGAGATAGTCTTGAAGAGAAACACACGCGGCGGCGTGGGCCTGGTCCTCCAGGTGCACGTGGCCAATACAGGAGATGGGTGCTAAGACAGAATTGCTGGGGGAGAGAGCCTGGAGACTTCGGAGTATAAGCATGCAGCAACGTTCGTGGTAGTGTGTATGCCGGAGGGCTTCCTGCTGTGGTATCTTATACTGCCATAGTATGATTGCAGAGGGTGGGTATGCATTGATGGTGCATAAATAGCAGATAAATAGCTCAAAGAGCATTCGCTCGTTGTATGCGTACATTATCGCATAGTCTAGATCCTGAAGTAACAAATACTCCAAGGATAAAAGAAATTTCTACTTCACCAAGGTGGGTTGCAAGGAAAGTCCACAGCGAAAACAATAAGGCGGTACATGTATAATAGTTGCTCCAGCACTTGACACGGGCGTAAGTTACGAGAATGGATGATGATGGTGTGATTCTATGAGACTTACCGCTGTCTTTGAAAAGGGTGAGCAGCTCCGATGGCAATGCCCCCAACACGGCAGGTTTCGGGTCATTTTCTTCGATTTTTTCGTCGTCGGAGCTACTACTAGCGTATGCCTCCAAGAGGTGATCCATTGCCGTTGCTGGTGTGTGCTCTAAATGGTGCTCTAAGCTCTAACAGCTGATCCCTGTGTGCTTGTGGACTGTGGACGCCTGTGCCATCGGAGATCTGGGAGATCAGAGAAGGGGGCGCGTGATTGGGACAACCTGTTGCAGGGGGGGCCGATGCCAGGAGTTGCGTTAATGGTCCGCATCCGCGGATGCCTCGCCCTTTCAAACACAACAGCGACGAAACTGAGAACACCACCCACAGCGCGCACGGACACCTCCTGCCATCCAAGCAGGTGAGATGGACCTGTTTCATTGCTGACACTTTGATAGGTACAGAGATACGTGCGCGTTCGGCGTGTATCTTGGTGTGGTATGCTGTATGGATCAGTTGTGATCTCCACTGCAGCGAAAGTGGACCCGCTCTTCTGTCCACCTACACCGACCGGCGGTTGGTCACTTTGCCAACGCCGACCAAGGCACATCGGTCAGGCCGGGGGGTGTTATTTGAAGCGCCGAGATTGTCGTATGCTGTCACTCCGGCGAGGGTGTTTGTCTGCTGTTCGATTGAAGCTGCGCGTTCAGGCCAAGTAAACAATGGCGGCTTGTTGATGATGTGCATGAACTTGGGAGAGAACAACAGCTCTCTTCAACTTCTGCTGGCCCCGCTGTTTCGTGACGTTGGAATAGATGACCCCAGCGAGGGACCCGGCGTCTGTCAGGCGGCAATGACGATGCCTAGTAGGTCCTAACTCCGGCAGGCGTATAGGACAAAGCAGGTGGAGCTGCCTTCTTTTTCGACACGAGAAGGAATTCTACCTTTGGTTGGGGTTGATCAACCTCTCAACATGCCGACATGGCAACCCGCCACCACCGATGGTTTGATTTTTTGTGAGAATTGGAGCTCCTCCCGCTGCCTTCTTTCCCCGCCAACTTGAGCGTAACCTCGACCCGCCGCGTTGATGCTTGTGCAAACCGCATGCTCCTTCCCATAAAAAGTCACCCACCACGTTGGTTGTGTACCTACAGCAGCTGAGATTTCACATGTCGTCGGCGTTGTTTTTCTCTTGAAAACAATGCGGGCAAGAAACAGCTGGACGCCCTCGTCGGGCGGCATGTTGAGTTTTTAGAAAGTAAACATATCCTCACAGAAAGACTACCCGCTTTTGTTTCATCATTTTTTTGGTTGAGGCAGGTAGGCAGGCAGGCAGGCAGCTGGTCTTGTATGTCAACGACTGAAGTTTGGGAGGGAGGGCTGTTGCTGTTGCTGCTGCTGCTGTTCGCGCATGTGTAATAATCGAACAGAAACCCTAGACAGCAGTTGCTGTTCATTATCACGTCGTAATCTTTATCTTTTGACACAAGCGTGTGAAATCCATTGTACGACAGGTTCACAGGAGTGTTGATTTGTCCATGGTTCCTGCGTTTTCAGCACTGGGCCGTTGAGATATCTTGAAGCCGTTTGAGATCTCCTGCACATTGCTCATACATCCTTCGAAGGCAACGATGCGTTTTTCCTCGGCCACAATCTTTGCATACAGCAGTACTTCATAAAGTGTACTGCTGTAGACGTCAGACCAACGAAAACGGTACAGACGACGGAGAAAGTACATCGTCATCCAATGTCTGCGCAAAGCCCAAGTTATTGTTTCCGCCATTGCAATGGCTTCCGAACTTCCCAACCATTTTAATGTCCCGCCGAGCACACGCACACGGCCTCCATTATAGGGGCATTTTGTGTTTTCCACGCTGTTTTTGTTCTTCTCTCTTTTTTCTTTTTTTGCCTTTCGTTCTTTCATCCCTTGACCAGGGTCGTCGATCTTCTTTATGCCGATTATGGTTTTCCTTACTTTTGATCTTTTTTCGGTTGGACAACAAAATCGCGCCTTGGAGGAATTATCTGGTGTCTATTTTTATTTCTTCATTTTTTAGAAAGGTACACGCCCCCCCCTATGGGGGACAGTTGGCTTGTGACCACGGAAGGCGTCCGCGTCAGTTGAACCAGTACGAACATTAGAGGGTACTGAGCACACACCGGATCGGTTTTTTAATGTAAAGACAAAAACCGCACTGAGACTGACGTCTTTTCCTTGGCCAGCCGGTAAGCGCGGTCGCGATGCTAACAATAAACGACGCAAACACGCATAAACACGCAGGCGTGCCATCGGGCGTTCCAACCATGTCGGACACCAGCGACTCCTCCGGGATGCGCAAGAAGAAAAGCTTCTCCTCCCGCTTCTCCAGCAAGATGGACAAGATTTCGAACCCCTTCAAGCGGGGGGACCACTCGGACTCGGACAGCGACGACGACGACGGCAGCGGCAGCGGAGACGGCAAGGGCAAGTCGCTCTTCAGGGGCAAGCTGCACAACCCTTTCAAGAAGGGCCACGGCTCCGACAGCGAGGACGAGAGCAGCAGCAGGTCCCCGGCCAAGGACCGCCGCAAGTCCAGCGGGGAGGCGACCACGCCCAAGCCGAGCAGCGGCGTCGAACCCCACGTGCCCAGCGTGTCCGCGAAGTCCCCCAAGAAATACGAGCCCCCCACGGAGGAGGACAAGCCGGCGGCGCGGCCAGTGATCCCGCCGCCTGCGCCGGTCCCAGACTCCGAGCCTCCCGCAGCAGCAGCAGCAACAGTAGCAATAGCAGCAGCAACAGTAGCAGTAGCAGCAGCAACAGCCGCACCGACTCTCCCGCCTCGGACACCCGCGGAGGCACCGAGGGCGGCGGCGGCTGCGCCGGCCGCCAAGTCGGCGGCGGAAGCCCCCGCAGGCACCGCTGGCGCTACCCTCTCCCCGGAGTCGGCAGACGGTGGCGATGCTGCTGCTGCTGCTGCTGCTGCTGCTGCTGCTGCTGCTGCTGCTGAGCCGAAGAAGCCGAGGGTGACGGTCGGAGGGCCGGTGTTCGGTGCTCCGGACATCCTGCTGACGGGGGTCAAGGGGGAGCCGGACGCGGCGATGAGGACCCTCAGGCAGAGGGGGTTCGTCATCCACCTGGTGAGAGACGGGGAGAGAAATATTGCTATACGCAGGTTGAGAGCGAGAGGGAGGGAGAGGGGGAGTGGTACTGGTTGACATCGGGAGTCTGTCCGACCTTGGTTGGATGGTGCTATGTTGATCACTGCAAATGCCAATGTTTCAAGAGAGCGTGTGGCGAGACGAAGTGGAGATGGGTGCATCTCACTACAGCTCATTTGTGTTTTTCTGCCGTCCGATTCCTTGTGTTGCGTCGTCGCTTTACAGCCTCTATTTGCTGGCGCCACAGAACTCAGACGTTGTTGCCCTCTCTCACCTATTTAGCGCATGCAGACACCAATTTCCGCGTACCTTGTGTGCTCTGGATGGAGCAGGCCAGTGGAATCTCGGATGTCTTGTAATAAGTACATATTTGATACGCGTTGTTTTTTTGTCACCGCGAACCAAACATAAAAACGGTATATACCATTACCGCACCTTTACAATACATTTTTGTGGGCGGCCGTCCCGCCGGACACCATCGAGCATTTAGCGCCGCCGCCGCACACCCTCGGTGCCCAACTGAAGTGTCAATGTCCTTTCCACCCCCGTCAAACACAACCATCATTCCCTTTGATTTGTGGCTGGTGCGGTGCAATCGGTCCCGCTTCTCCTTTCAGTCGGGCCCCTTACTCCATTTTTTTTTTTATTTGCCGCCGCCGCCTATTTTTGCCGGGGGGTCTTCTTTGTCTGTTTTGATTTTTTTGTTAAGTCCATGCTGCACGAGGAACAAGTGCCGCCGGCGATGACGATGGTGCTGGCCATGGGCCCCAAGCTGCTGGTCAAGTCTGCCGTCGAGAGGAACCTGGCGACCAAGGCCAGGCAGGAGTACACGTCCGGCGAGGTGGCACAGCTCTGCGCCGACGCCGTGAACGTCATCAAGCGCTCCGGCCTGGAGTACGAAGAGGCGAGTCGGGTTGTGGTGGTGGAGGTGTTGACGCGCACGTACTCGGGGAACAGTGGGGCTAGGTGGAGGCGGAGGCATGGCAACCCCCCTGAGGCCGATTTTCAAAGCTCGATTGCTCCACAAGCGAGGTTGTGCCCAAACGGTGGTTTTGGAAACTCCTTGTCGAGGGCTTTCCGTAGACGGTATCGGGCTCGCTCCGCACCCACTTGGTTGTGGAGCGTTCAAGTTGAGGAAATCGGTCTAGGGGGAGTGCCGATCTCTCCGCCTCTTGTGGTATGCAGTCCTCGGCGGCTTGGTGTTGGCGATGGCCGCCGCCAGAACTTGTCTCTTTTTGTTCCTTCGTTGCTTGCGGGGAGCTATCATAGAGACGGGTAGGTATAGCGCTCAAGTTGCCGGAGCAGTGCAGTCACTGCCGGTATATCATCTCGGTGCTAGGCATCTGCAGGATCTGGCCTTGCATGTTGTCTGGTACTTTGGACTGGTACACGCAACGGTACTCGAGCGGAAGCATGGTGACTGGACGTGCCTTCTTCTGCGCCGTGCAGCGGGTGAAGTCTCTATACGCACGTGATCCCCGGTGCTCGGATACACGTCCTGTGTCTTCTTTTGTCGTGGTGGGGCGGGTAAGCCTGTCTCTACACGCACGCATTGGGGCCTGGCGCTCGCTCTCGACCTCGACTGCGCCTCCCACGACCCCTCACGTACCTACCGATGTGCCCATCATGTGATCTCGGCCCCGCAGACGAGCCTTCTGCACGACAAGGAGGCGCTAGAGGGGGTCGCGAGGGCCGCTAACAAGGACGTCCCGGACGCGGTCAACGCGTACTTCGGCCCTTACATCGGGATCTATTTCGCATGGCTGCGGTTTTACACCAAGTGAGTGTGGTACCGTTACGTGGAGGGGCGCGGCACGTTTACTTGCTGCGGTTCCTTCCGTTTATTTGATGGGTAGATGGGATCGGATCGCGAGCGGAGCAAGGAGCCCGGCGAGCGCACAGGTGTCAGCTCCTGAAGTTGTACGCGATAGTCGGCCTTGGCGCCTTGCTTGCAGCTCAGCTGACTTTGGTGCGTAGCTTACTTGGCGTTATAAACCGCGCCAATATTCTATACCGCAGGCTGCACCCGTTTTATGGGCGTTTCGCATGGTTGTTGAATTTGACCTCTCTGGTACGACGACGAACAACTCCTAGCGAAACCGAAGAGTAACCGCCGGTTCAGCAGTCTGGGATTGGCGTGCAAGGGACGCCTGCGGTCATCGGGACGAATGATGAGGGGATGGGGGGGGGGGGGG